TTCTCTGTCTCTTAACCAGCGATGCCCCCTCCCCCAAACCACCTCCATTTTGTTCCCCCTGGAGAACTTCCTGGCAATAACTGGGGACTTTTTTCATTTGTTCATCACAATTTGGGGGGAGGGTATTACAGTCAAGTATTGGTTAGGAGTCAGGAATGATTCTAAACATTTTACAATGAATAGGGAAACTACCGCAACAAAGAATCATACCCAGATACTAATAGGGTGATTGGGTAAGAAACTCTGGGTTAATGAATGGTCCTATTTGGGGAAAGAGTGAGATAGAGAGAGAGAGACAGACAGACAGACAGACAGACCCAGAGAGACAGCGACAGAGATGGAGAGAGACAGAGAAAGAGAAAGAGAGAGACAGAGAGAGAAGAGAGAGAGAGACAGAGAGAGAGGCTATCCCAGGCAGAGGAGATTTGAAAACAATGAAAAAAATACTTGTATATGTAGAAAGTGAAGGGCACAATTATGGGGTCACTCACATTTTACTTTGTGTACTTTTCCATTTTTTTTTTTTTTTTTTTGCTTTTCGGGTCACACCCTGTGAAGCTCAGGGGCTACTCCTGGCTTTGCACTCAGGAATCACTCCTGGCGGTGCTCGGGGGACCATATGGGATGCTGGGAATCGAACCAGGGTCAGCTTCATGCAAGGCAAACACCCTACCAGCTGTGCTATTGCTCCAGCCCTCTCCCTTACTTTTTCTTACTTGGATTTTTTGAGAACAGTCTTTTTTAAGAAAACAAATAAGGAAAAAGGCACAAAAAACAAGTAGGTTGGAAGACTCCTATAAAATTAAAGGTTTTTAGAGCAGAGATTTCAGAGAGAATCCCCATGTTCCAGACATCCAGGCATTAAGTCTCAACCCTGTGCCACCTTCACAGCCTCAGAAACCTCCATGAAGAAATCACACAGTTCATTTAGAGTCACACAATCTCTGCCTGATGCTTCGTTTTACAGATTTTAGCTTTATTATACTTGGATATGGTATTTACATTACCTTGACATTAAGGAAATAATAACCTCCTCACTAGTCTGAATTACTTTTAGTCTGAATTATCAGAGATACTGTTAAAATAAAGGGAGTTAGAGCTTGCCTTGCATGTCGCTGATATTCTGACTAACGAGTTTATTATTTTTCTTACATGTCGCTGACCAGGGTTCAATTTCTAACCCGAGTTAAATCCCCAGCACTCTATATGGTCCCGGAGCCCTGCCAGGGTGCAAGAGCCAGGAGTAACCCTTGCACACCAGGGGTGTGTGTGGGTGTGTGTGGCCCTCCCACCAACCCCTCCCAAAACTAAAAGGAGTGAAAAGCTAGGCTCAACAGCAACAAATTTTTTTTTTTTTTGCTTTGTCTCCTTGTTTCAAACTCCCCCTGAAAAGACAAATGAGGAAGGGTTGGGAAGTGCAGGACAGAAGAAAAATGATTTAAAGAACCTGACACGATTCAATTAACTAAGAAGAGAATAATCTTTATAGGGTTGATAAAATTGCTAAAAGATGGTTATAGCCTAGTTCTAAGGCCCTGGAAAAGACAATGCCCAGGGCCTCATGCTGTCCCAGGCCCTCAGAAGTGGGATATAAAGGTATCATAGAAACTTATGCAGAACTTCTTGTGCAGGGGCCCAGAAATTTGCATATTTTACATAAATATCCACCCAAAGAGACTAACAGCAAAGGGGATTCAATGATTGTGTCATTTCTCCCTCCACCTAGGACACTGCCATTAATTGGGATTAATCAATGAATGCCATGTACTGAGACACGCTTCTGGCTTAGTTTGCCTTCCTAAACCTCCAGTTGAGCTTTTTGTCTTTGAAGAGTTCACAGGCTGCGAACAGTAACTCACTTAACTGTTTTCTTTTTGTCCTTGGAGCAGCCTCAAATGCTAAGATACCAAATGAAAGGAACTAAGTGTGCTTCCAGGGTGGGGGAAATAGTGAAAAACGCAATCAGCCTTGCTTTCAAGAACAACGCTTTTACTTCACGTTTATTCACGCAATTTTCCAACATAATTTTATTCGCCGAATCGAGCTAATCTAGAGCAAATGTGAATCTATATAATTTATTATTTTTATTAGAACTGGGGAAAATTTTTTATTAGAACTGGGGGGAAAAAGAAAGCCCGAAGCGTAAAGCAGGGGCTCCAGCCCCCCGTTTCCCCTCCCCCCGTTTTAGGAAAGTAAACAAACTTTACTGAAGTTTAAATTGTGGGCTCTCCAATTTTAAATCAACCCATCACAAAGAAACCCTGCCTGGGTCATTAAGGGTCCCACAGAGGCAGAACAGAAACTTGTTTTTCCATCCGGAGCAAAGCAAATAAACAAAAAGTCTCCTAAGCAGTGGCTGGGGCTTGGAGCCCCCTCTGGAAGGTGGTTTTCCTCGCCTAAGTTACACAGACTCCGGGTACCTTCTTTCCAGAACGCATCAACAATTCAAAGGTCCCAAGGAATTTGGGCTTAGACGGGAGTGGGCGGAGGCCTCTGTTCCCACCTGGGGAGGCATCTCACAATTATGCTGCTGTTCCTTTCCCGAGCATCTCCCCAGCTCTGATTACTTCTTCGATATGGTTCGCTGCAGCTTGGAAAGGGAGCATTGGCCAATCAAGCTTATTGATTGCTGCGAGTTTCAAGTTAGACTTTGCCCCCTCCCCCTCCGTTTGAAAGAGGCCTTTCTCTGTGCTCCACCTCCCTCTCCCTTCAAGTTTGTTTTCTAGCTATAAACCCGCTTCGACTCTCGGTTTCCATCCCGGTTGGTTGCCTGAGAATCGCGATCACTGGCCAAGTTCCCTTAGACGAAGAAAAAGATACCTTTGTGTACATAATGAGAGCCACCGCGTGGCCAAGGATAACCACGCGGAAGAAGGAAACATTTTTGTCTCGAGCTGCTGAAAGCGGGCAGGGGGAGGGTTAAGGCGTCCCAAAGGCGTGTTTTGTGGACTGGCGTCGAAAGCGCCGAGGCAGCCGAAGCCGCTTTCGAAGTTAGCAAACAAAGCGTCTCCCCAGTAACCTCCCGGGTGCAGACGAGGCTCCTGCCACTCAAGACTGCCGAGTCGCAGCGACGGCCGGCCCCCGGCTCCACCTCCCTGCGTCTCTCCTCCCTCCTCTCCCGTTCTCCAACGGTTCTGAGCCACCAATCCCAGCAACAAACAACCCTTCAAAAGTAAGGTCTGAGCGGCCTCCAACAGGCGGCCCCCACCCTCTCCCCGCCCCACATCTGTCCTGCACTCGGGCGCAGCAGCTGATTCATCTCCAGCCAGGCCCGGGGAAGGAACTGCGCTCCAGCAAGCTGCAGGGTACCTTCCAGGCTGGTGGGCCTCCCCCAGCCCAGCCCCCAGGACTAGTTTCTTCTTTTTGCTGCTGCTGGAGAGGTGTGTTCTCGGAGGTGCCGACCACAGAAGGGAAAAACAAAACCCCAAACCCCAGCCCCCAGGATTGCTGCCTTAAGACCGACGCCTTTGCTCTTGTTTATTCATTCTAAGTCCTGTAATTGACGAAACCACCCAAGCTTTGTAAACTCTGGCCTTGATTCACTCTCCAGGCGGCGCTGTCTTTTTAGAAAGGATGGGTGAGTGGGTGGGAGGCTGGCTTTAATTTTCGGCGTAATTCTGAAACAGAGGTTCCAAAGTCGAGTTAGTCATCGTTTGGCCGCCTGAGCCCTCCTCGGTTTTAACTTCATTTCCACGGAGCTTCTGCCGTTTTCTCCATCGAGGTTACAAAACGGAACCAGCACAGGGCAGAGCCGAAGCCCGCGGCGGACTCTGGCGCTGACGGCTCCATCGGGCTTATTTAAGTTTTGTTTGTTTTTAAGTGTTAAGAGCCGCCTTGGTGTGGCTGGTGACAGCTCGGTTACTTCACCAGCGGGGCAGAAACTCGGAAAGCTTAGACCTAGAGGAGAGGATAACCAAGGCGTCCCTCTAAGTCAGCCACAGCGCGCCCGGGCTTTGAAAAGGATAGATTCATCAAGAATCCCCCCGCTCGGAGGCCTGCGAACTCCCAACCAAACTCCCATCGATAGGAACATGGGCTGATTTAGGGGCTAGTTTTTGTTTGGAATGCCGGCTGGGGAGGCGGGGGGTGGGGGGGCGTCCTCGAGACAGCTGACCTAAGCAAATCAACAACCCGGGTGTCCAGATCTCTCTTTTCGTTGCCCGGGTCCGGGGGTGAGGTGTCAGGGTGAGTCGCAGCGGGCAGGCGGTGCTACCCGGCCGTCCCCAGGCAGGGACTTTTAAAGAGCATGTGAGCATGACAAGTGTCTGTCCGCTACGTGTAAGATTTCGAAACTGCTCTGCAATCCAGTCCGGAACTCGCAGTTTTAGCCCGGGGAAACAGACATTTGCCCGGGGTGTCAGTGTCTCAGCCCCGGTCCCCCTCCTCCAAGCCCCCCCCCCACACGCACAACCGTCGCCGTGGAAGGAAGGGCCCCGAGTGAAGAAGGGTGCGACGCGCCGCGCCCGCGTGTTAATGGCAGCCGCGCGTTCTGGAAGAAGTTGGTTCTTGTCGGGAAATACTTTTCCTGCGGCGCCCCGCCCCTTGAATCACCCGCGGCCGCCTCCCCGGGCGGCTGCAGCCGGGATCCGGGAGTTTGGGGCAGCTGTCAAAAAGGAGAGGGGAACCTTCCCTTCCCTGGGGGCAAGGAGCGGCGGCGGCGGCCTCCCTCCTCTCCACCCCCCCCCCCCATCTGTTGTCATTTCCGACCCCAACGCTCGGTCGCGCACCCGGGGAGAGAAAGACCCGCGGGAGGAGCCCCGGGGCGCGCGGCCGGGGGTCGCGGTCCCCGGGAGCGGGCGGGAAGGCTCGGGTTTCGGGCCCGCCGCCCTCCCGAGAGCAGCGGCGAGAGCACTGTCCTCCCCGCCGGGAAGGTGCGGGGGAGGGGCGGAGAGCGGCGGGGCGGGCGGCTGGGGGCGGGCGGCTGGGGGCGGAGGCAGGACCTCCTGTACCTTCCCTCCTCGCCTCGCACTGACAGCGCCGAGGTGCGCCGAGCAGGAACCGGGAACAAAGGAGCAGGGTGGGGAGGGGAGCCAGTTGGGCGAGGGAGAGCCCCCGGCCGCTTGCCAGACGATTCCGGCCGGAGGAAGCGCAAGTGTCACTTGAATTCCATCCCGGGAGCGGGCGCCTGCGAGCCGGGCACCTAGTTTAGCAATAACGGCTGGAGCGCGTCCTATAAGTTACGGGAGCGTCGCCCGGGCAGGGGGACGATCGTCGGTCCCCTCCGTGCCCGACTCCGGACCCCAGGGGACGCCCCCCCCCCCCTTGCCCGCCCCCAGCCTCTGCTAGCGCGGGACCCGGAGCTCCAGAATGAAAAGCAAGAAAGGTAAGGCCGGGCGGGGGTGTGCGCCGCGGGCGCCGGCCGGGGACAACGTGCTCGGGCCGAGAGGGACTTGCGGGACTTTTCCGCCCCTCGAGAGGCTCCCAGGCTGGGAGCCGCGGCCGTTCCCTTTGTTGACGCTGCGCCTGCCATGGCAGTGGCTGTTTTCTTTCCAGACACCACACGAGGGGCTGTTGTGGGGGAGACGGGCCGCTCCACGCTGCTGGCACGTTGTCAAGAAACACACTCGCCTCCTTGTTTGTGCGCCTCCCAAGTTTCATTGTCTCGGCCGACACCCCACTAGCCGCCGCGCCGCCGCGTGGCTTCTCCCTTTTTCCTCGTGGGCGGGCGGGATGTGAACCCGGTTCGTGGACCCCGAGATCCACTTTTCCTGGTCGGAACCCGGGGCGGCCGGATCGCGGGACTGGGGGTACCTTTGTTTGAAAGTTGGGACTGGCGGGGGGGGGGCGGGGGGAGGGAAAGTCCCATCTCGCTCCCCACCGAGGCGCGGAGGACGCTCTTCCGTGGGGATCGGGTTCTTTCAGGCAAAGGAATGAGACCTGGGCCCCCAGAGGCTGTCGGGGGTGGATCGCAGGGGGCAGTCAAAGTTGATCCAGTTTCTCAGCTTCGGAAAGTTTTCCCACGATGACTTGGGGGCAGAGATGAAGCGTTAGGATTGGAAGGGATTTGCGGCTTCGGGCAGGCGTGTAGCCGGAGCTGCCCTAGGCTGTGAGAAGTGCAAAAAAGAATCGGCCTGTCATTGTTTCCACGCGGCGTTCTGGAAGTGTTACGACTAAAACTTGCCGGCAGTCTGGTTTCAAAACAAAATACACCGAAGGGGGTGCGGGGGGAAGCCCCACGGCGAAAGGTCAAAGAACGTGAACTCCCTTTGTCAAGTGAAACTTTTGCGTCCGTGCCGGGGGACGGCCCGAGCGTTCCGTGGGGAGGCGAGTGGGTTTTGCTGTTGTGATTTATGTGGAGTGGTTCAAAACAGAAGTTAGTGGCGCGGGGGCGCGCGGGGGCGGGGCGCGCATGCGCCGCGGCTCCGGGCCCGTCGGTAACTGCACATTCTTGCAGGCGCGCCGGCAGCGCCGTTACGGCGGGTGTCGGCGTGGGCCGAGCCGCTCCGCCTGCTCCTCAGAGTTCTGTCCGTTTCCTCCGGGGCCCGCCTTGGAAACTCGCCGACCGTCTCGCCTCTCGGCTTGCCAGCCAGAGTAAAAAAAAAAAAAAGAAAAAAAAAAAAGGAAAATCCTACTGTGCCAACCGCGGGGCGTAGACGTAGTTGGTGGTAACACGAACTCTCCCGTGTCGCCTCCCTCCGGGGGACCGAGAGAGAACGTTGGGGGGCTTCGGGGGTGGCCATGGAGCCGGGCTCTGCCGAGCCGCTCGCGGGGCCGGGGGCCGCGGGAAAGACTGACAGGTCCGGGGTCTCCCCCCCGCCCCCGCGGGGCGTTCTTCTCACGGGGGGAACCGGCGGGGGCTCGGTTGGCGAGTTCGTGTTTTGAGGGGTTCGGCGAGCCAGACGTCTTCCGCCGGGTGGGGAGGGCTGCGGGCTCCCCCCCATTGTTAGGGCACGGGTGGGGGCGTGGGTTAGCTTCTCGGGGTGCCCCCCAGCGTTCTGGGGGACCTTCCCAGGTCCCCTTGTCCGCCCGGTCCGCCCCCTCCCCCCACCGGTTGCCCCTCGCTCCGCCCCCCGGCGCCCCTCAGCCCGGGCCGGGTCCCTCCCTCCCCTCAGCCCCCCTTGACTCTCCACCTCCGCCCGCCCGCCCAGGAACGCGGCAGGGAGCCGCCGGCCGCTCGCTGGGGAAAGTCGGGGTGCGCAGCCTGGCCGCTGCGGGTCCTGCTGCCGAGCGCCGACCCATGGCCACGACGAAAGGTGACGGGGTGAGGGGGCGCGGCGGTGCAGGCGACCCGGGCTTCCCCCCTCTTCCCCTTCAGGCTGGCCAGGCGAGTCTTCGGGGGGTGGCGGGCAGGCCCCTCGGAAGCCCGGGACGCTCCACCTGGTTTCTCGTTTCTTGTCATCGGAAACTCTCGAAAGCCGTCGGGCTGGGCTCGCTGCTGTCGGGGCTGAGGAACTCGCCAGAACAAAAGCTCCTTGGCTCGCTCCTCCCTCTCCCAGCGACCTGGGCCGGGGACTTGGGACGCGCCAGACCTGCCGGGTGGTTTCTAGTTGGTTGGAAAACTAGAAACCACCTTCAGCTCGCTGGCTGAGCCGGGCTTTAAAGGGCTGCTGGGGAGGAGGCTCCACTTAGAAAGCTGCGAATGCCCCCCCCCCCCCCAAGGTGGCCCAGATGGCTTTAAAAGCCGCGGAAATAGAAAAACCTCCTTTCTGCACTGGGCTGCCCCGGCTTCGAATTCCTCGGGGTGGGGGGGGTGTGTGTGTGTGTGAAGCCGTTAAGAGTTTGGGATGGAGGCAGGAGTGGTCCAGTCATGAGAACTTTTGGTCGAGAAACTTTGAGACTTGCAACTCTTTGTGTCTCGGCCCTCTCGGCGATCCCCCCCTCCCGCCCCCCATCTCCTTACTAGCCGCTTCTAGATTTTTAAAAATCCCGACAAGTTCCATCTCTCTGGCCTTCACTGTCTCCAGCCTTCCCTGGCACCTCTTAACCGCCGCCCCCATCCTCGACACCCCCCACCTTCCAATCCGAAAAAAGTTCTTGCAGAGCTGCAGACCTAACCGGCTTTTCCCAACTTGTCCTTGTAAGTGAATACGAGTGAAAGAGGCTGGTGATCTCTGCCTCCCCTTCCCCCTGCCACATTTTTTTTTTTAAGAGTAAGCAAAGCAGAACGTTTGGAAACAAGTCGTTAATCGGGAAACTTTTCAAAAGCTCTGTTACAATAGGAAATGAGTAACGTGGAAAAGTCTTTTGTTTTTCCAAGTTGAGCCACAATCCCTAGCGAGTTTTAATGAAAACAGCCCTGACAGCAGCAAACGTGGTTTGCAGTGAAATATCAGCTGGTGTAGTCAGAGAACTGAAGTCTTAACTTCCTGTTACTTCAGCTTTTGTGATCATATTGGAAATATTTGTCAAGAGGTCCAGTGGCCTAGCACTCATTTATTTAAATGAACTGAGAACAGAGTCAAGTCGCTTTGTAATTTGGTGTTGCTTAACTGAAATCTGCTTTTGTGTGTCACTAACCTATTCTTAAAAAATCAGACTTCTTGTCAGACTAAGTAAGCAGATCAAAGGGCAGGCTTCCGGGTTCTTTTTTGTTGTTGTTGTTTCAAACTCTGTTATCAATTTACAGTAAGGAATTCACTGTTGAATGTGCAAATTTTCACTTTTCTAAAATAAGAAAGGGAAGGGAATAATAACCTTGAAGAATGTTTGGCTTTTTAGACATTAAAGAGTTTAAACACACTACTTAATTCAGACTTGCTTAAAAAGCATTCAATTACTTGACAGATTTTAAAAGATTTCTTTCATTATCAGGGTAAATGTAAAACAGGAACTCCTTTATAATATCTTAAGGTGTTTGTTAATAGCTCTTTAGCCAAATTTCAGCCTGGACTTTTTGTTTCTCATTTTCTCCACAGTGAAAGCAGTTTCAGTTTTAAATGTACCTAGTTTAATTTTTTTCATGACTTTAATGAAGTTTTCCAGGAAGGGAAACATCACATACCTGGCAGTTCAGATTTGGGATTATTGTGTGGTTTTTTGATGACGGACGACCGTTTCTTCCGCTTTGAGCTCAAGTGAATTTGCAAGATCATCCTCTATTGTTAGAACTTGCTTTACTTTGTCTTTGGAAGGCTCTGCCCTTTCAACTGACACTCTAGACAGCACCTTCTGCCCCCTGCAGTCCAAAACTAAAAGTGTGTCACCTAGTAAAGTCATACTCAATTAACTGGCCAGTTATCTCAAGTCTTAGATCTGAGTGGCTTTTTGAGTTTCATTGTGTTAAAGTGCTTGTGTTAAAATGCTTTGAAAGGATTTTTAAGGGAAAATTAAAAATTAATTTCATAGTTTATCTCCGAGGAATGATTTTGGTTTTATTTCCTATCAAGGTGAATCAGGATTTAGTCAAAGCTGAGTGCATGCTTAATTTAACTTTTGTATCAGTTTGAATTCCCCTGATATAGAAATACTGTTGTTCCTACACATTCTATAGTTTGTAAAGTGCTTGTTTTTAAATTTTAGATCGTCTTCTGAAAAGAACACATTTCTTTAGTCATTATACTTGCTTTTTGTAGTTTGGAAAGGGGAGCAAGCCAATAAGTAGCATTTGTTATTCAAATTTTTTTAAGTTCAAAATGATGTTTAAATGCCTGTCTGGGCCAGGTTTTAATTTTTATTGAATTCCGTCTATTTGTGATTTAAAGATTTTCTGCGGCTTGTAAATTCCTCAAACTTCTGGTGGGATTAGGGAGTTCCTCTAGGGGCTGCATATTCAGTTTTCTTTGTCATGTAACAGTTTAGGATTTACTGGCTGTATTTGCTAGTTCTAGGTTGGATAAAACTGCGGTGGGAATTCATGAAATTTTTTGTTTTTTCAGCATTAAGCATCTTTTCAATGATTAGATCAACCATTGTGACTAGATCTCTTTTTAAGTTTAAGTGTCTCCAACTGCAGAGAGCTGAAAGGGCTGAGAACATGGTTTGCAAGTAGAAAGCCCTTAGTACAGCTCTAGGATAACCCAGCACCACGTGTGGCCCAGTATTCACCCTTGACACCCCAAAAGTGTCTAATTCTGAATAAATGCAGTGAATTTGATAGGACTAGTGGAATTGACAGGAAAAGTTTGACATGCATTTTATCTTTAGAATACTGACTTGATTGTGTAACTTTTCTCTCATCTGTGAATGAACATATGAATCTTTTATTTTAAAACTTTAGTGAAGTTGGAAGAAAAGTGTTTAAAACTTATATGGACATTACGGTAGTTATTAAATTGTTTTTTCCTAGTTAATAATGACCTTTAAAAAGGGTATTAAACTTTCTACCCTTGTAGTCTGTGACAAGCTCCTCACCTTGGGTGTTGCAAGCTTTATCTTGAGCTGGGAGACTTTTTGAGCTTCCGTGAAGAATGTGAGTTGTTCATTTCTTTACGGAAATGGATGAGTGGACATCTGAAAATTGTTTGAGACTCTTAACAAGTGCTCTGGTATTTCAGGACAGAAAATGCTGGCTGTTCTCCTAGCTCACGATTAAAAAAAGTTACTTTGGCACTAGTGAAAAGGAATGTGCTTTGGAGAAAATGCTTCATATGAAAAATGTTGACTAGCTGGCCTTGATGCTTTCATAGGTGTTGTTGCGGTGTCTGGCAGTGAGACCGAGGATGAGGACAGCATGGACATCCCTCTGGACCTTTCCTCTTCTGCTGGCTCAGGCAAGAGAAGGCGAAGGGGTAACCTGCCCAAAGAATCCGTCCAGATTCTCCGAGATTGGCTGTATGAACACCGATACAACGCCTATCCCTCGGAGCAAGAGAAAGCATTGTTGTCCCAACAAACACACCTATCTACGCTACAGGTAAGGGAAAAGAACATTAAGTGAATTCTCACAGTTGGTTTGTTTCTCCAAGGTAATTTTCTAGCATTCCTGTAGGTCAGGCTATCCCTCCCCACAAAAAAAAAAAGGGGGGGGGGTACCTTTTTCATGTAAACTTGGTAGTTTTAGAAGCTAATCTTGGCTATTTAAGAAACAGAAACTCTTGACAGTTAACTGTCAAATAGCATTTCCTTTAATGTCTTTCTGTATGTAACAAACATTAAAAAGAGGTTAAGTCTTACTCTGCTGCCCAGGAAGCTGGTTTGATATTTAAACAAGGACAGACTTCAGTGAGGTAATTCATGTTTTGTCTGTTGACACAGTTATTCGAACTGGGAAAAATCAGTAACTGGGAGGAGTGGCCCTTTTCATACAGGAAAGGTTTTTTGTAGTTGATTAACTTTAACTCTGGGGCAGTAGTAGGTAAGAGGTTAATATGGGAAGAATTAAAAAGATAAATTTCCCTTCCTAAAATCAATTTCATGCATTTGAGGATTTATCTTATTCTTCCTCATGGAAAGGTTTAAAGGATGATGAGATAAAGTAGGGAATTATGTTATAAGAAGAAAAGGAGGTTGAGACAAAGCTGCTCTTTTTTTTTTTTAATGAATCACCGTGAGGTACAGTTACAAACTTTCGTGCTTATGTTTCAGTCATACAATGATCGAGTACCCATCCCTCCACCAGTGCCCATTCTACACCACCAACGATCCCAGTATCTCTCCCATCCCCCGTCCCCCCATCCCACCGTGCCTCTGTGGCAGGGCACTCCCTCCTGTTCTCTCTCTCCTTTTGGGTGCTGTGGTCTGCAAAAGAGGCATTTAGTGGCAATCATGTTCGGTCTATAGTCTATACTTTCAGCACGCATATCCCTTTCAGAGCGGGCCCTCCAAACACCCTATTGGTGGTCGCAAAGCTGCTCTTTTGACACCCCCTTCCCACCAGCCCCCCTCACCCCATATGTCGTGGTACTCAGGTCCTACTCCTGGCTCTGCTCAGAGATCAGCTCTGACAGGGGATCAAAACAATGGGCTTCCCAAAAGGCAAGTGCCCTACCAGCTGAAATCTTGAAATAACTGTGTATGGATAAACCTTCTCATGTTTGTGTGGACAGAGAGAGGCAAACTTCACCCCCCACTCCCACCCCATTCCCTGTGTTTGGTTGCTGAATGTTAAAGCCGACTCTTGTGATTTTAGGTCTGTAATTGGTTCATCAATGCCCGCCGCAGACTTCTCCCCGACATGCTGAGAAAGGATGGCAAAGATCCAAATCAGTTCACAATTTCCCGTCGTGGGGCCAAGATTTCTGAAGCAAGCTCTGTGGAGTCAGCAGTGGGCATCAAAAACTTCATGCCAGCTCTAGAGGAGAGCCCATTTCATTCCTGCACAGCCGGTCTAAATCCAGCCCTTGGGGGGCCATTGTCCCCTAAACCATCATCTCCAGGATCAATTTTGGCACGTCCATCAGTGATCTGCCATACCACTGTGACTGCATTGAAAGATGTGCCTTTCTCTCTCTGCCAACCGGTTGGTGTGGGACAGAACACAGAAATACAGCAAGTAGCAGCCAACAACTTTATAGACACCTCCCTCATGTACCCGGATGACACATGTAAATCTGGACCAAGTACGAATACACAGAGTGGGCTTTTCAACACTCCCCCTCCAACTCCACCGGACCTCAACCAGGATTTTAGCGGATTTCAGCTTCTAGTGGATGTTGCACTCAAACGGGCTGCAGAGATGGAGCTTCAGGCAAAGCTTACAGCTTAACCCTTTTTCAAGCAAAACAGTTATCAAACATGATTGCCGGGGTGATGGCAAGAGATGAGTTGCATTATTTTATATATTTTTTTATTAATATTTGCACATGGGATTGCTAAAGTGAAGCTTTCTGTTACTGAAATGTCTTCAGTGGAATACAGTCATTCCAAGAACTATAACTCAAAAGCTACTGTAGAAACAAAGGTTTTCTTTTTTTATGTTTCTTGGTAGATTATTCATAATGTGAGATGGTTCCCAAGATCATGTGATTTTTTTTTTTCCTTTTCCCCTTTTTTGGTTGGTTTTTCAGACTGTGCAATACATAGAGAACCTATAGCATCTTCTCATTCCCATGTGGAACAGGATGCCCATTGTCTAATAAATTTTCCTTTTTTTTTTCAAGCAAGTATGAATCTAGTTGATTTATGATGTCTTTTTTCACGACATAATAAAGTATTTTCTTTAAAAATTACAGTAATGCAGAGTATTTTGTTGAGGGTAGCACTTCTTACAAATGAATAGGAATATAGCACCCCTATGTGCAGGAAGTTGGGGGTGGGTGGGGTGTGACTTGGTGGGGGGTGTCACTAGTTTTTTGAAGAATCATGGAGAACAAGCCAGTTTGTATAAACAGGATGTGTGATATTTACTTTTGATGGGAGGCATGACAGACCCTTCAGCCTTTTCTTAAATTGGATTTTATGGGACTGGAGCACGGGTACAATGGGTAAGGTGCTTGTTTTCCATGCACGCAACTAACCTGGGTTCAATCCCCAGCACTGCATTATGGTCCCTGGAGCACAGTCCTGGAGTGATCCCCAAGCTCAGAGCCCTGAGTGAGCCCTGAGCACAGTTAGGTTTGTTTCCCCCCCCATGCCCACCCCCCAAAGAAACCCCAAAGTGCATTTTATTGGCATTTAACTCCTAAATTCTCCTTTTCTCACTTTTTTCTTTTTGGGTCACACCTAGTGATGCTCAGTGGTTACTCCTGGCTCTGCACTCAGGAATTACTCTTGGCAGTGCTTGGGGGACCATACAAGAAACTGGGGATCAAACCCAGGTCGGCCATGTGCAAGGCAAACGCCCTACCTGCTGTGCTATTGCTTTAGCTCCAACTCCTAAATTCTCTTGGTGATTGGTTGGTCATGTGTATATTAAGACATGGCCAGTGTTGAAAAGAAAGGTATGGAAGTGCCTAATTGATTATGACTTAACTTTTCAGAAAGAAGCAATACTCCAACCAAACTCAGTATTACCTCAGTTTTATGTTATACTTTTAATTTTTGTTTGTTTATATAACACCATTACATTCAAACAGCAGCATAAATTTGTACAGAAATCATATTTTAGGATATAAACATAGTTTCTTAAGTGAGTAAATTTGTGGGGTTCAGATTCCATAGGACTTGATTGCAGCAAGTCTACCATGTTAATTTATTAGGTTTGTTCTTTAAGGTCATGGTTTTTGAAAAATTGTGTCATAAGTGGAGTTCGTTAGGATAGACAATTATGATCGGAGCGAGGATAGCCAAAAGGTAATTGATGTTCCTTTCACTTACATGGTTGAACAAATTGGTCACATCCTATGAAATTTATCGTAGTCATGCTTAGTATGAGGTTTCTCTGTCTTTCTAGTCCTTTCCAGTCATACCCAGTTTTGAGTTATCTATATTTGAGGAGTATCATAGCTTCAGTGTTGTTTGAAAATGTAGAAAAATTCTTTCAAATTTGTTTAGTTGTACACCCTATTTTGATAATTCCTACATTAGAGTTAAAAGATTTTTTTGTAAATAAAAACTGACGAGGACAACTAAAATATATAACAAGTAGGAGGAAAATACATGATGCTTTCAGACCTGGGAGGACGAGTGTGTGTGGTGCCTTGAAGAGCTGCCCAGTGACTGTTAAACTCCAGAGGGTCACAGGTGGAAGAAACCAAGAGAAAAAGTATGTACATGGTACACAATCAGAAGAAAGGTAAATTAAAAATCACTGCTTAAGGAACCGGGGATATAGTTCAGTGTATATATATTTTTTGGGGGGTAAGGGGACAGGTTACCCCCTGTAGTGCTCAGAGGTTACAACTCCTGACTGGGATCTGCTCAGGGATCACTTCTGGCTGACTCAGGGGTGCAGGGTTGGAATCTGGGTTAGCCTCGTGCAAGGCTGCTGTGCCGTTGTACCTTCTGGTCCCTAAAGCACTTGTCTTATATGTTGAGGCTTTAGGTTCACACTTCCATTCCCCATGCCCCCACCAACCCCCAAACCTATTTGGGCCAGGAAGAGAGAAGGCTGGATCTCATGGAGTTGCGTCAGTCACTGATAGCATATGGTGCCCCTAACACTGTTGGTAATGCCTCTCTGTCCACCACGACCTCTAAAATCATTACTTGCTCTAATAACTAGAGTAAAACCTAAGAAAAATTCTCTGAGCACAAACAAGGATCCTAAAATGCTTTTGTGTTTCATGAATCATGAGAGAGAAAAGGAGTCAGAAGTGCCTGTTTGCTTGACTCCATACTGAACCCAGAACCAGGGCTTTCTACGTGTGCTGTATGCACTCCGCCATTGCTTAGATCCCTAGTCAGGCCGATCATGAGTGATTTCAAAGAAAAAGTGCCAAATGAAGCCCTGATGCCCAAAAACAAAATTAAAAAAATACCCAAATTTGCTGTATATTTTTTTCTTTTTCTTTCCCACTTGAGGTTGTATCTTGGTTAATGACAACAGGTATGGGCCAGAGATACAGCAGAGTTCTTTCCATGCATGAGACCAACCAGATTTAATGTTTGACATCACTTATGTTCTCCTCAGTACCAGGAGTGAGCCCTGAACACAGATAGGTGTTGCCCCAAAATAGACAACAACAACAAAATTCTGTATGTAATAAATAGGAGGGTTTTTTTTTTCAAATTAAAAAAAGGGTTAGGAGATGCCATAAATGATGGGTGTATTCTTTGCATGTGGGAGCCTTAGGTTTGATACCCAGTAACTCAAGGTCTCTGTACCACTGGGTATGTCGTCACCCACCCCTTTCCCCCCCCCAAAAAAACCCTTCTACATATTGAAGTTAAAAAAAATGGTTTTTTAAACTTAGTACTTACATAATAAACCGTCTTTTCCCTCTCATTTGTGTATTTTTAACTTATTTGTGATTTTGTGTTTAAAGTTTATCTTTTGGTAGCATAAAAAGGTCTTACTTTTTGTTTTGTTTTGGGACCCGCAGAGCAGTGTTGAGTGCTGGGGAGTAAGGGACCTATTTCCAGCTGTGTGCTCAGTATCAAATAAAGGATCCAGGTATCCTGAATGCAAAGCATAGATGCTCAGTACATTGAGTTGAGTTATTAGAAGAAATAATGGCCAGTATTTTCCAAGCTTGGTAAAAAATAAATATCCTATGCTTGATACATGTGAATATATGTATACACACACATAAATAGGATATATATATATTATATGTATATATAACACCTAAGATCGTCCTGTATGTTTTCAGGACTCTATTTTTCTTAGGTTAGAGATAATGAATTAATAAGTCTAGATTCTGCTATATGCCTCTGAAGACTTAATTTTTGTTCAGTCACATATTTCATTGGCTGGTCAAAACTTCAAATTCTCTCCCCTATAGTGAAAAACAGTCCAAAGATCTCAAGGGGCTGGAGAGAGATCAATGGACTGAGCACATGATCTCATGTAGGCGGCCTCAGTTTGATGCCCAGCACCACATATACCCCTTTCCTACTCCCTGGCACTGCCAGGAGTAAGTCCTGAGCATACCAGGTGTGGCCCTCAAATCAATCGATCAATATCTCATTAATCTTTGTATTTGGTGAGGGAAGGGGCTTACCAGGTTGTGCTTAAGGCTTACTCCTTAAGTTCTGTGCTCAGGGATCACTCCTGGTATTGCCCAGGGGGCCAAAAGGGAAGCCTGGGATTGAACCTGTGTTAGCCACGTGCAAGGCAAATGCCCTACTCATTGGACTATGGGTCTGGCCCCTATCTTACTAATTCTTCAGCCAGTTGCTATTCAGTGGATCACTGGAATCTGCACAGCATTGGTCTGGAATTTAGACCAGTTTAGATTCAGAATCCTTTCCAGGATTCTTAACTTCTCAGTTCTTCTGCCAACCCTAACTGTGTCCTTAGTACTCAAGCCACCACGTCCAGCTCTCTGCTACCCTCACTTTCTGAATAATGAGAGTTCTCTTAGGCATTAAAGCACAGACTTGCATGTCTTACTCAATCCCCTTCCTTTAAGGATAAAGAGCACTGGTTTTTGCCTACCTTACTTTGTTGACTTTTAAAATTATTATCTGTAGGGAAGTAAGTCTGAAAAGGGTTAGCCCTAAAAGGAAATGATTTAACCATTACTAGAAACTAATTTTCCCAGTTACTTTGGGTTGGGGGGTGGGGATGTTGGGGCCGTACATGGCTATGCTTGGCTTACTTCTGGCTCTGTACATAGGAATCACTCCTGGAGGGACTTGAAACCATAAGTGGTGCTGAGGCCTGAGTGAGTCAAGGCAAGTGCCCTACTTGTTATACTATGGCTCTGGCCCCCCCGGAGTTACTTTTAAACTGTAAGTGGGGATCCCCAAGCTTATCTGTACATCGGACTTACCTGGAAAGCTTTAAACATACACAATGGCTTGAGGTTAAGGATTTTTCAAACAACTCTTGGTGAGTTTAGTGCCTAGATAAGTTTGGAATACTGCCTTAAATAATTTTTTTAAACTAGTACTTGACTCATAAGTAGAACATTGGGAAACAACAATTCTCTTTTAAAACCTAAGATATAATTGGTTGGGGCATCTGCCCTGGTTGTGGTAAGGGGACCTTGTCCTAGCCCATAATCTTTTTCCTTTGGTGAGGAGTAGGGTGGGGGTGATTTGGGTCATACCTAGCAGTGTTCAGGGCTTGCTTCTGGTTCTGTGTTTAGGGAATCACTCTTGGCAGGGCTCGAGAGACCATATGTGGTGTTGAGGATCGAACTGGGGTTAGTTGTGTGTTAGGTAAGTGTCTTACCATCTATAGTTGTATTAATAATAAAATACTTTTTATTAGAAAGAAGACCCATAACTTATTTATTTTATTTTTTATTTATTTATTTTTTAAGTTTTATTCGTGAAACACCATGTACAGTTGTAGACTTACAAATTTTTGTGCTTCGGTTTCAATTATACAATGATCAAGTACCCATCCCTCCACCAGTGCCCATTTTCCACCACCACAGATCCCAGTATCCCTCCCAGCCCCATCCCCCGTCCCACCTTGCCTCTGTGGCAGGGCATTCCCTTTTGTTCTCTCTCTCCTTTTGGGTGCTGTGGTTTGCAAAAGAGGAATTGAGTGGCAATCATGTGCAGTCTATAGTCTACTTTCAGCATGCTTCTCCCATCCTGGGAGGATCCTCCCAACACCCTTTATTTGGTGCTCCCTTCTCTATCTGAGTTGTCTTTTC